GGGGGGGGGAATTCTGTTACCTAATGACTAAATAGCCTGGAAGCAGGAGCGGCATCCACTTTCGAAATGGCTTGCCTCCAGAAACTCTATGTACGAACAGTGCTCAGGCCTTTCATTCATAGGGTCGCTATGAGTCATCTATGACTCAACGGCACCTAACAACAACAACAATGACTAAATTGCAGAATTGCCCTCAGGATAGCATATATAACAGTAAGAATTAAAAGAGAGAAAGTCTTCGTGTCTGAGACCAATCATGAGTCTCTAGTGAATGCTTAAACTTTCTCCTCACCCTCACATTTAATGTGTTGCGGGCAAGACTTCAACTAGCCCACGTTCTTTGCCTGGTAGGGTGATCCCAACCTAACTACTCAGTATACCTGAATCCTCTCTAATCCTGCCTGTCTTTAGTTGCTCTCCTTTTCTATCAAATTTACTATTAGGTATGAAAGTACTGAGAGATATTCCTAGAGAATTTTCTAGGCTCCAGGTATAATCTTCCTTGCCCCTAATTTTGTAGCAGAAAGCAATTTTCCCTGAAATATCAGTATGGATAACCATACCCAGTAAAGCAACCATCTTACATTTTTTTTAAGTGCATTAAAACCACCAAATGACCAAGCAGCAGTTTCAACTCCCAATTCAGTAAGGCCATGTCATGCACACTAATGCAGCCATTCTTCTTCTGCGAATCAAGAATAATGGCCCTTGTGAAGGGCCATCTAGTTGGTTATGATTCCTAGTGCTCTAATGAACAAAACATAAGTCTTCCCCCACTCTGTGACATCCTCACAATCTCTTGGCATGCTTGAGCACATTGGTCCATACATTGTGTGATTGAGTCAATCCATCTTGTTGAAGGTCTTCTCCTTCCTCCCACCCTCCACCTTTCCCAGAATGATGGGTTTTTCCCAAGGATTGGCCCCTCCTGACAATATGCCCAAAGTATGTGAGACAAAGTCTCACCATTCTTGCTTCTAGGGAACAACCTGGCTGTACTTTCTCCAAGATAAATTTGTTTATTCTTTTAGCAGTCCATACGATATTCCTTACTCTTCTCTAATACCACATTTTTAATGTATCAATTCATCTTCTGTCATTCTTAATCATTGTCCAACTTTCAGATGCATGGGAAGTAACTAAAAAACTAACCAGTCTAGTAGGTGCACAAAGTTGAAAAGAAAGGAAGCAAACATTCTACAAATGGGCTTTTAGGTGACATGGTCAGAGAAGCCACTCCTACTTTCACTTTTGGCTTTCCAGACCTTTGTATTTTAGTTGTGAGGAAAATAACAATGCATTGTTTGCCTGGTCAAATCAGACATTGAATCTAACACAATAAAAATCCTCTCAGTGTGTTGCCTCAACTAGTCTTAAGTCTTCAGCAGAACATTCTACTGGACTCTTACACAAGCTTGTACTAAATGAGGGAATACATGTTAAGACTCCTAAATTCCATTTTTGTTACACTTCTTATACTGTGGAATTAGTTCTTTTTTTTATATTATTTTTACGTGTACCGTCAAATCAGATCTGACAGATACAGTAGGAGCTTGTCCTCTCCTCCAGCAGAGCATCTGGTGGATTTGAACCGGGTACCTCTGGGATTGCAGTGCAGCATCTTGCCACTAGGCCACCAGAGCTCCCTTGAAATTAGTTCTTTAATTAGAAGCTTTATTGCCCAAAACAGCAGGATAATGAATGTCATTCCATATATCTGAGATGATGGTTCTGGCAACATCTTATAGGAAAAAAAAAGAAAATCCAAATCCAGAATGTTCCCCTGAAATTGGATTTTGTGTATCTGGTGCCATCATTGTCAATTACTTAGATCAAGTTTGGAATGGAAGTGAAAGCTTATTGATAGAAGATACACATAAAGGAGAGTCACATGGGGTTCAGATAACATCCAGGTTCAGACCCTTAGTTCTGCTAAATGCAGCTACTACAGATTCAGAAGTAAGGAGGGGAAAGTCAAGCAATCAAATATATACTAAGTGAAACACATCATTAAAAACATTAGTTTAAAAAATCACAAGATTAATTAAAACAAAGATATTAAGAACAGGAAGTATTCCTTCTTCTCGTCTTATATTTCCTCTTTAATCCACAAGCTGGGGCAGGCCAGTTTGCCCTACTCTTGCTGATACCAGAGTTCCAGATGGTCAATGTATCAAAGCATTCTTCATCAAATGAGTAGCATAATGATTAAGACTAGTAATAACTGAAAATAAAATAAGAAAAAGAAAAGCAAAGTACAGCTATAATACTCAAAAAAGGAATCACTTTTGTTCAGCCTATTATCAAGAATGCATCTATTTCTATAGGAACAAATAGCTTTGCCGTTTTTATTGGGTGGAGGAGGTCTAATGTAATTCTTGAGATCTAGGTTGATGAGCTTCCCAGTCAATGATGCCGTATCAAGAGTTCCATGTTGATATCTGCCAATGAGAGCTAATTATTCAGCAGTAACACTAGATAAGTCAGCCTTGTGGAGAAGAGGAAATCCATGTTGCTGAACCTATGAATATACTCCATCCTTGACACCATGACTCCTTTGTCCCTAAACCCACTGAGCAAACACTAGTTGGCAGGGGAAAGATGCTCTCTAGTGTGCACAGAACATATCTGGAGACCCCATTCCCAATATGTACTTTGGTGAGATTTTATATAGGGTACAAATATCTTCACATAGTGCCTAGCCCAAGGGATAGGCAAGGTTATACCAAGGGGTATAGCTACATATCTTTTCTGCACAAGTCCTTGTTATAAGTCTTAGTATTTTGTTCTTTCCATGTCCCTTACCATTATGGTAAACCACTAGCAACTTCTTATGAATCAGTATGGATATCTTGGTCCAAAGTAGATAAACAAATATTCCCCATAGGGAATATTGCACCAATACCCCTGACTGAGGTTGTGGAGCTGCAGCTGCCCATTCCTGGCTTGTGCCATTCCTGGAGAATGCCTTTTTTCCATAGTCATAAGAAATTTTCAAAGAGAACTGTGTGTAGATTAAAGGAGAAGGTGCCCAACTACCTTGTCGTGCAACTTGCTTGTATCTTCCAGACACGAGCAAGTAATTTGATAATGAGATGTTTATGGAAACACCTAGTTTTATTTGATGGAGAAAAATATACAGCTCAGGTCACATGGCCCCTTGATGTTTCATGTTCAGGTTATAGTTCCATTTTTAATATTCTGGATCCATTTTTCTCTTAAGCAAATCAGCATGTGAAACTCATACTTCTTTTGCCTTTATTGTCTTTATTATCATTTATGAGTGATGATAGCAGCAGCACTTGAGGGCAGTAGAACCTCCCTCCTGAGGTCCTGCCAAAGCTGTTTCTTTAAAAGAGAATAATTATATGCAAAAGACTGTATGAAGTGGCTCCAGAACCCACAAGTCTACAGGATTAACTTCTACAAGAGCTAAAAAAGTAACTTATTCTCCCACAGGTCCTAAGTGCAAGGAACTCTGATGAGAGTCGTCCCATCAGTCTCATGTGTGCTGAGGACTAGGAATCAGAGTTTGATCTCAGCCTATTCTATTGCAGGCACAGCCTCCGTTGCCGTGGCGGGGATCCTGGCTGCTCTTCGAATCACTAAGAACAAGCTCTCCAATCATGTGTTTGTTTTCCAAGGGGCAGGTGAGGTAGGTGGCATCAGAAATCTATACTGATGTCCCAATAGTAAAATGAGGATGAGTGGAGGGATGTCAAAAAAAGGAAGTAATGGAGGTGTGTAGAAAATGAAGCTGCATAAATATATCATGATAATTGTAGCTGCTTCAGCCCTAACATTTGGGTGTGTTAAGACAAAGACTTAACTGGATCTCCTGCAAAGTAGGAGTTGAAGGATAAGGTGAGAAAGATGAATGTTGTGTAGCTGTTTGACCTGTTTCTGAATGTCTACCTTATGATAATTCCCAGGCAGCCATGGGCATTGCCCACCTCCTTCTCATGGCCCTAGAGAAAGAAGGCATTCCCAATGCAGAGGCCAGAAGGAAGATCTGGATGGTGGACTCCAAGGGGCTCATTGTCAAGGTACTGTCAGTCTGAAGATGGAGAGGTTTCCCCACATCTATGTCTCCAAGAAACTAGACTGGAGAGGCCTCCAACGGCAAACCATCCAGAGAGTAGGAAGCAAAAGAAGGACCATAGTCCAAGCCCCAAAGCAAAATACCCTCCATAACATAGACATAATTGCTTTAGTCCAAAACTTTATCTGCCATAACTACATGTTACACTAATTTTAGCCATGTTGAATCATAGTTCTACAGAAGTAGCATGCTCTCTCACATCTGGGATTTAATCCTTATTATTTTTTCCTCTGCCTAAAATGCCCTCTCCCTTTTGTTATATGCCCACTGTTAATCTCTAGTCCCTTCTCAGTTAATTCCTCATTTGATTTAGTTCAAATTGTTACTTCCTCCACGAAGCTTTCTCTGAGCACCTCCGTCTCATTTTTCCTACATCTGTGCTCACACAGGCCTCCCCACTATGCACTTACCACATTTGGGGAAAATCGCCCCTCTTCTGTCCCCACCTGACTTCATAATCTTTATGTCAATGTCTGGTACATTATAAGTAAATTATAAAAGTTTGAGGTATGAGTAAAAGGGTGAATGGAAGAACAGTGCAGCTTCTGACTGAAATGTGTTAGGGGCTACACTTCGATGATTCCCTCCCTAGGACTCTATTCTGAGTGTCATGTTTTAGTTCCCAGAATTCAACTACCATAGAATTGTCGGTGAGAGAAGAAAGGTATGACAGAAACGGGAACTAGGGGGAAGTTAGGGGTAGATTACCCAGTAAGCAAGGTAAACATGGCTTACTTATCCTGTAGTGAATAATTTCATGTCAACAGTTTCCCAGGGATGTCTCCAGGACAAGAGTCTTGATTTGGTGTGGACATTTCCTGAGAGTCTTTCTGTACATATGTGCTCTTAATTTAAAAAATAAAAGGTTAAATAATCAAAAATGTTTCTATTCCACCAAGAAATATTATCAAGAAGACCAACATCAAGCCTCCTTTCTGGTATTTCAGACCAAAGTACAGGGCTTAGCAAAGAATGCTTTTAGTCTTGAAAACCACCCGTACCAGGGGACCTCTACCTCCCACAACTCTCTCTCTTTCTTTCCCTATAGGGAAGGAGTCATCTGAACCATGAGAAAGAGATGTTCGCCCAGGACCACCCTGAAGTGAAGTCCCTAGAGGAGGTGGTGAGGCTAGTAAAGCCCACAGCCATCATAGGTGAGAGAAAGAAAGAAACCCACTGCCCAGGCCAGCTAATCCTCTTGACTTGCAGATGGAGAGACTGAGATAGCGAGAGGGGCATCACTAACCCATGGAAATGAAGCTCCTTTTCTCTAGCCCTTCCTAATGCACTGCCACAAACTTGGGAGACTACTATATAAAATTCATAGAGCTAGGATGCCATATGGGAACTTAGTGATGCAGAATTTTACTGTGCAATGAAAAAGCACAGGGCGGGTCTATAACAAGGATGAAAAGAGCACTCCTTCCCAAAATGGGTGTCATGCATCACTCTTCACACTGTGGGACTGCTCCACTCTAAATGGCAATGCCCATGACTGTCTTCATGGGTACATCTTAGCTGGGCAAGGAATGGAAATGGATCAGTGGAATATTCAGAAGGTCTTGGCTAGCTCACCCAGAAGGACTCTTTTCCCTTCTGTTTTCTCAGTCCCTTTGCCAGAGGTCATCCCCAATATTCCCAAGTCCTCAGAGTTGTATCTAGCTTGTCCTGTCATTACCTCCAGGAGAGGAATGATTCGTTTACAAAGACTAGGCACCCCCCACTACCCCCACCCGTTTTCCCTGTAGGTGTTGCCGCCATCGCAGGAGCCTTCACGGAGCAGATTCTGAGGGACATGGCCTCCTACCACGAGCGCCCTATCATCTTTGCCCTGAGCAACCCCACCAGCAAGGCCGAGTGCACAGCTGAGAAGTGCTATCGGGTCACCGAGGTCAGCGGGGAGTCCATCCTTCCCCAGGCTGAGAGCGACTCTAACTATGAGTAACCCTGTGTGGGTGAAATAAATCCCCACATCTCTGATGAGCAAATAAAAATTCTGAAAGGTGAAGTAGCTTGTCCAAGGTCCCAGAGCTAAGAATCAGTGGCGCTGTCTCTCCAATCCAGGTCTGAGTGCAAAGGCCTAAGCTCATTATTCTGTACTTTCCAAGTTTCCCCTAAACAACAGTTTGACCAAAATCTGAGGAGCTTGTAGACTCTCTAGATCACCTCCATACCCGTTGTATCCTGGGTTGGCCCTTCATGGTGACAGGTAAAGAAAACATAGTAATGCCATCACCTTTAGGTGGTAATATCAGAAGGGCTGAGCTTTCTGGTCAAGTGAAAAAGTGTACTTTCTTTGAGTACCCACCATGTCCTCAGTGCAATGTTGGGCATTTGGGATGGGACAAAGGGTCCAACAATTAGGAGAGAAAACTAGGTCCTGTTGCTGCCTGAAACCAACCTGCAAGTCCTGTCTCTGGTTTCCTTCCTGCCTCCAGGGCCGAGGGATCTTTGCCAGTGGGAGTCCTTTTAAGAGTGTGACCCTGGAAGATGGCAGGACCTTCATTCCTGGACAGGGAAACAATGCCTATGTGTTCCCTGGAGTGGCGCTAGGAGTCATCGCTGGCAGGATCCGGCATATCCCAGATGAGCTCTTCCTCCTGACAGCAGAGGTATTACTGTCCCTCAGATATTCCTCCTCTTTTCCCTTCCATTCACCTGCCCTCCATCCATTGCAATGGATCCTCAAAGTACCTGAAGATCAAGCTTCTCTCCGGCTTACCTTAAGGTCTGAATACCTGTCAAATTACACACAGAGTTTTTGAGAGAGTATACTGACATACTTCCATCAAATCTAATCTGACTCATGGCAGTGAGTCCCCTAAGGGGATGTTCCTCTCTATCCTGTTGGGTCACTATGAGTAGGAAGTCACTGGACAGCAACAGATTTGGTTTGGATTTGGTTAGGGAATAGTCAGTGAGGTGCATATTGGCAAGAGGCACTAGCAGTCCCTTGCACTGCTCCCTGCAGTGCCCTTCTCGATGCCTAACCACAGGAAATACCACCAAAGTCACATGAAAGTGGGCTCATGCACCATGACAGGTGATGGATTCTTCTAGTGATGGACCTTCACCCATCAACAGCATCACTAGTAGCAGAGTAAGCCAGTCCTTTTAAGTCAGCTTTCAGAAAAACAAGACAACATGTCTGGTTTTACTGATGAACACCCAAATCATGAGTATCAATGACAGTGGCAGGAGATGGACCTTGGTATCATCCCACGTAAGTTCCCAGAAGAGTTCCGTGCCATGGGCACCGTGAAGACAATGAAAAAAATTGTTGAGAATTCATAGTAATAGTTATTAATCCTAACAATTACAGGGGCTGACCTTTATCAAGTGCTCATTAAATACCAAGCACTTTATATTAATCCTCACTCTAAGGATTATAAATGTCTCTTCTGGGACTTTAAGTTAATCAAAACTCTGAGCAATTATTAATATATTTACAGCTAATGAGTTCTGAAGATTCTGTTGTGATTTCTGGCATACGTCTGCACTTTCCCTTCCCCATGGGGCTGGTCAGAGTCTGAAACCTGTGCGTGGGAATGCCTTCCCTACAGCTTTATACAGCTCTTCTTTTGTGCATTCCACACAAATATGTTTTATGCACGAGGCCCCTTCTCACTCTGTTTTGAGTATTGCTTGAACACTGGCTTCTCTAAACTGCAATAGAAAAGTGGTAAGATTACATCCTATCTAAGGGAAAATAACCTCATAAGACCTAAAAGAATAGGGCAGTCTCCTGCAGTTTTCACTCTTACACGTTTTACTGTAGTTGTAGTTACTCCAATCTCCCTAAGGGAAAAGACTTCTTCGCCATGATCTCAACACCTAGCACCAGAAATCTCAGTGAATATTTAATTGAGTTAATGGAAATGAGAGATAAGAAGGCGAGACAGGTAGAGAAGCAGGGAAGACTGCTTTCCCTAATGTCTGCCAAACTGAGAGACCATTTCCCTGGCTTGACCATTCTGAAATGCAAGGTCCTCAGCAAGCACTAGTGGCATTTCCCAAAATCTGTTGTTATTATGTGTCATCAAGCTGTCTACAACTCATAGAGATCCTATGCACAATATCTCTGAATCCTGCTCTATCCTGAGCCAATCTCACTGTCTCTGACACACCTACCCTTATTACTCCAGTTACTGCGTCAATCCATCTCATCCGGGGTCTTCCTCTCCTGCATTGTCCCTTGACTCTTCTAAGCATTAGAAGGGTCTCTCCTGGCTATAAGCCCAAAGTATATGAGACAGAGTCTCAAAATCCAGAAAATTGGGTAAAGTTTGGATTCAGAATTGCCACATTAAACTAGGGCTGAAAAATGAGGTTTGCAGCTGAGGGTTAACAGCTGTGAGACAGGAAAAAAACCCATGTGTGTAGTGGAGTTAGTACTGTCCCCAGGTTAATGTAATTAGGCCATTTATTCCAATGACCCAAGATGCATAGTGTCACTCGCTGGTATTGAAGCTTTTTCATAGACTGGGACCAGGGCTAGAAGGGCCAGTATAAGAGCCCTAACTAGAACCACAGGAACTCCTTTGTGGGATGGGCATGGGAGGGCTGAGTCTTGAGGTAATAGGTTGAGCTTGTTCTGAGAAGGCAGAAACTCAGCATGATTCTTTTGTTTCTGTCCCTCTTCCAGCATATTGCCCAGGAAGTCTCTGAGCAGCATCTGTCCCAAGGGAGACTATACCCACCACTCAGCACCATCCGAGACGTGTCTCTGAGAATTGCCATCAAAGTAAGGGATATCTCCCCCACCCCCACCTGTATGAGAAGTGAGACTCACCTCCTTTTTCACTCTGAAACTTGGGAAGGATAAGGAGATGGTTGCCATAAAGACATTATTAGCACCTTTGGGCAGCATTGCATGTGATCCAAACACAGGGTAAGAAACTCTTTCCCATAGTGTGTACCCTACCCTTAACGCCCACGCAGGCCAATTCTGGGAAAGCTCTTAGATTTCCTGTCAAGAACTAAGCAAAAAGGTCATGAAATCCTACAGTCTTACAGACTGGACTGTGGGTGGAATCGTTAAAAACAAATCATAAAGGGTTATTTATACAGAAATGTCAGCCTACAAAGCATAATGGAAAGATCTTGGGCTCTGGTGTCCCAGTTTTACCAATCAGTAGCAGAAAAATCATGGGCCAATTACTTCCCTGCACCCCAGTTTCCTCCTTTTCCAAAGGTGTCACTAAGTCTTCTCTCCAGAGCTCTGGAGAGAAGAGCACAAGAGAACAGTCAGATTACCAATACCTGTCTGACCACAGTAGATGCTCCTCCCAGCCTTTTCTCTCAAAATACCAGGGATCATGGGACGGTCAAATTTTTGGACTAGTACGAGTGAAAATCACACCCTAAGGACTACACAAAGATAATGAGTTTCCAAAGAACCAAAATATGGTGAAATAAAGACTGACTCAGCATTAATAATTGTTGGAAGCAAGATGGTAGTTACATGAAAGATTATTATACTATTCTTTGTACTAATGTATGTGTTTTAATTTTTCAATAATAAAAAGGGAGCTCTGGTGGTTTAGGGGTAAGGAATTTCACATGATTCAAATCTGCCATCTGCTCTGCAGGAGAAAGATGGGCAGTCTGCCTCAGAAAACCCTTTGAGGGTTAGCTACAAGTCAGTTCTGACTCAGTGGGACTCAACAACAATAATAAAAAGGGTGGGGTTTTTTTTTTAAAATTAATCTGAAGGAAACACTCTGTATAATAGCACGCATTCCCCAAGAGTTGTCCAGGGCAGTACTCACGATTAACCCTGAAGATTATTAATGTCTAGCTCATAGTAAAGCTTCGCCTGGTCCACTTGCTTCCTTTTCGGAGTTTTAAATTCAGACATCTGAAAAACTAACTCTGATGCCCAATAATCAGTTTCACAGCTGTTCATCTAATTCCATCCACAATCTGCAAGAATGAATATATCTCTGACACTTTTGCTTGCCACATTATCTAATTTTATCTGTACATTACAGTATTTTCTCATCCCCACCACATTTTATCAATAAGGAAACTGAGGCTCAGTAAGGATAGTGAGAACCCTGGAGACCCATAGGCAGTTGAAACAGAGGCAGAATTTAGGTTTGGCCTTTGAATCTATCCCAGTATTTATACAAGTCTCTGCTCATCTGTCTGTCCGAATAGGCAAAAATCGTAAGCTCCTTCCTATGATCCTATTTAAGGATCATAATTCCTGGGTGGAAATTTTATTCTTTAGAATGTAGTTCCCTTCCCTTAGCTCCCAGGCAAGAGACTTTAGGCAGGTTCCTCTTTAGATTCACTTCCTCAACAGAACATTTTTTCCTAGGTTCTTGACTACGCGTACAAGCACAACCTGGCCTCCTACTACCCAGAGCCCAAGGACAAGGAGGCTTTTGTAAGATCCCTGGTCTACACTCCAGAATATGACTCATTTACATTGGACAGCTACACGTGGCCCAAAGAAGCCATGAATGTTCAGACGGTCTGATGTGGTCTCAGTGGCAGTTGTGGGGATAGATGAAGCCCAGGGTAGCACCAACAATATAAATTAGTTCCAAAATGGCCATTTTCATCACTGTGTTTATTCCTTTGAACTTTCCTACATAAAAGGAGATGCCAAGACATATGATAAATGAGAGCTTTGTTTCTGAAGGCCTCGGAGTTCACATTTCTCTAACCCTCCTCAGAGTTCCTTCCTAACCAGTTCTTCATTCATTAGTTGCCAACTATTCGCTGAGCCCCATGAGAAATTTAAAGGAGAAAAAAAAATCTTGCCTATAATCCTTCCTTTACAGAACTCAGCATTTACTTATTTTCTTATAAGAGGAAAAAGTAACAAGTCCATGAAAGTAGTACAGTTAAGGATCAGGGCATTCAGAGGAAAGAAAGTATACATCTCATGTGTCATAAGAAATTAATTTAGGGAGAGCAGGAAATTCCAAGAGTGAAGGATTGGGAGGAGTCACAGGATTATTGAGAACATGAGAGCAGCCACTGGCCAGAAACTTTCACAGCTCAACAAGGTGTGAGAGTTGAATGGCTGAAGGCACCCTGTGAACTACTAAAAGAGATGGGTCACTTGTAGGCATCCTTTTTTTTTTTAATTGGTGCTAAAAGGAAATCCAAACATATGTATGTCAGGAAGGTCAACGTGCTAAGAATTGAGGAAGAAGGAGTTAATGAGGGGAAGAGCACCAGGCAGAAATCTAAGAAAAACTGGATTTCAATATCCTGGCTCTAGTACTCCCTTCTATCCTTTACTCTGATCCGAAACAATTCTGCAACCCAGTGAAGCTTTCTTCCAGGGCTGATATCAGCCTTTTATAGTGTCTCTTAAAGCATGTTCAATCTTAATCATCACCTTCTTCAGCTTCAGCAAGATCCATATCATAGGAGAATGAGGTGAGGGAAGTGTTTGCAGTTCCCTGTAATCAAGGACCCAGATACACTGCTAAGATCTAAGGATGCCAGCTTCCAAGCTCTAACATTATTGTATAATAGATGATAGGGACATCATGCTTGGGAGGGTGGAGGGACAGCGCAGGAGAGGAAGGCCCTCTATGAGGTGGATTGATTCATTGACTAGGATAATTGGGATGGGAGTGTCGGAGACAGTGCGATTGGCACAGGACAGAGCAGAGTTTAGGGCTGTTGTACATAGGGTCGCTATGAGTCTCAGGTGACTCAACGGCACATAGCAACAACAACAACAGATGATATCATATATTAGACTCAAGGACCTACCACTGCCCACCGATATAGCATCAGGACTCAGGACACTCACAGCCCATCATGACTAGGTCATACAGGGCCACTTCTCAGTAACAGGATTGATAGACTATGGGACTCCCAGAAAGGTAATTAATAGAAACATCAGTCACACTACCAACTCTTGCTCTTCTAAACTCTGCCTCCTTGGTGCTAGTACTCAGAAAAACATATCATCCTTGCTTTATAATGGCTGAGATCATAAAGAATAGTAAACAATTCAGAAGAGGGTTCAAAGATTGCAGCTATAATCTGAACATCATAAACAAGAAACCTTTTTACGCTATGCTTTTGCATCACATCCCACAACTTCCTCTACACTCCTACTCCTATTTTTGTTTCAGCAACAAAAATAGCATGCAAGAGTGAAAACTAAAAAGTTTTTGTTTAACTAAATTAGTTTTCATCACTCAATTTTGAAGGGGAAAAAAATCGAAGGCATACATAGAAAAATGTGTGGCACAGCCTCAGAAGGGAAAAACAAATCAATATAAAATTTCTCTGTTTGTTCCCAGAAATAGCAAATAAAAAAGTTCAAAGCAGTTGTGCAAATATATTCAAAGGACAAAAGTAAGCCATCTGGAAAGAATTAAAGACCTCTTTGATGAAAATAGCCCAGTGGTAAGGATTTGCACTCTCAATTAATGGCTTGGGGTTTGAAACTACCAGCTGCTCCACAGAAGAAAGGAAAATGGGCAATCATCATTCATGTCGTTTACTGCCTCTGAAAATTCACTGAAGGGTCAGCTAGGAGTCAGTTCCAATTCAATGATACATGACAAAATAAGTCGATAAGCAGAGATTCTCAGAAAAGGGATAAATCTTATTTTAAAATAACCAAATGGAGATTAAAAGTATAATAACAGAAATGAAAAGTTTACAAGTGCTTCTTAACAGCAGATTAAATATAACAGGAAAAATAGTGAACTTGAAGAGAGATCAATAGAAACTATCCAATCTGAAAAAGATTTGAAATATGAAAGCAGAATCAGAAATTTGAAGAAAAACATCAAGTTTACCAAAAAATGTACATACTTGGAATATATATAGTAGGATAGGAAAGAAAGGAGTAAAAACATTTTTAAATAAACAAAAAGTAATACTTGAAACTTCTCAAATTTGAGGGAAAATATTAATATACATATCTAAGAAGTTTAACAAATATAGGATAAAAATAATACACACTCAGACACATCATACCCAAATTATTAGAAGACAAAATTTTAAAAGGAGAATGGTAAGTGAAAAATTCATGTTCAGGGTAGGGAAGTGATAATATAATAAATGACTGCTGATCCTTTATCAAAAACAAGGAAAGCCAAATGGCCATGGAAAAGATGCATGTGATAAAGGAGGGTTAGATTTAAACCATGGTGTTGGGGTGGGGTTTTTTTTGGGGGGGTGAGGGGCGTTGGGATTTTTAATCATTGAATCTGTTTGCAAATAGTTTGAGTTGTGCTGAAATTTTGGGGTGAAACTTTAAGATTTATCTGTTTTCAACCATGTTTCTGAATGCATAAAAATTGGGAAAAAAATTTTTCTCTCATAGTCCTATACTTAAAAATATGTTTATCAGTATTAGCTATTAGAAGTCTACTGGTTTTATATGATTTTCTTTTTCTTTTTCTTTCTATCTTTCTCTGTTTGAGACAACAGTAGACATTCATGAAGTATAATTCATTGAATTTTTGTCTATATATTCATTTCTTTATAGTTTGATTTCTTTTCATTATTGATACGTAAGATGTCAAGTGGTAGACATGACTTGTTTTATTTAATATATATTTCAGCATAATAAAGTTATGTTATTATATGTGGATATAAAGATAGATTGAGTGCTTTGCAAAAACTTTTAAAAGACAATGGAATTAAATATTAAAAATGCTTAAGGAACAAACAAGTCTGTCCTGAAGAGGGTGAAAACAAGTTGCTCCTTGGAGGCAAGGATTTTGAAGCTCCATCTCACATACTTTAGGCTTGTTGCAAGGAGGGACCAGTCCTTGGAGAGGGGCATCATGTTTGGGAGGGTGAAGGGACAGCGCAAGAGAGGAAGACATTTGATGAGATGGATTGACTCAGTAACTGGAGTAATGGAGGTAGGTAAGACAATGAGGTTGACTCAAGATAGAGCCGGGTTCAGAGGTGTCATGTCATTCATAGGGTCATTATGATTCACAAACTTGATGGCACATAATAACAAACAAAAACAATGTTCAATGAGTTGTATCTTAATTCGTGATCCCCTTACTTTCCTAGATTATCTGTTCTAATTAAGACGAATTATAACTCAGCACAGTCTGTATATTTTCTTCATCATCTGCCTCCATTGTTTTATCCACAAATAGGATAAACCTCCATTTTCCCTTCATGTATATGTCTTAAACAGTAGGTTAATGACTGCC